ACCAACTCCATCGTTGATATGGGTTTACAAGGTAAATCAGTGTCACGAAATAGGTCTACATACTTTATTAGAATAATAGGGACCTGTGTCATGAATGAAATCAGCCTAAATCAGGCCTCCATTTCGTATTGCCTCAAGTTAGGTACGTACTTTATAATATTTTTTGGTATCACAAAGTACCTAAATAGTGCATGCAAATGCTTTATGCTTCTACCTTCTTCGTAACATTTTTAATTAGAATAAGGATTAAGAAATAATGTCAACCAGTTCTGTGAAACCGAAAACGATATCAAAATCGCATTTGTACCACGAATTGATAACATTCGATAACTGGTTCTCCATACTTTTGCAAACACTTGATACTTGATAGTCTCGCTCGGATTTTTCCATCGATTTTCGCTTCCTAAATAATTTTTACAAGTCTGTGTGAGTAACACAGGTCATAATTATGTTACTATTTTTTCCTGTTGCATCCCCAATCTAAGATTGCATGGACATTCTTTATCGAGTATGCTCTTCAGAAGTGGTCCGTTTAATCATCACTGTCAGTTATCTAGACATCCGACTCAAGGATGCATTTATATTTTCAGTTCACAGAAATGCTATGTCTCATATGATACGTTATCGTTTTATGACGTGAGCGGCTGGGCATCAAAAGACTTATAGTGCAAGTACCATAGATATATTACCTAGTTGAGACTGGCCGGCAGGGTGGGAATAACGATGAAAGGAGTTCCATTTCCCTGAGAGCGAAACTCCTTAGTGGTGTAGTGTGTGCTGTCATTACATTTTAATTCCGAGAGTAGCAAGTTGCCTGTACAACTATTGTAGTGAAGGAATATGTTTAATGTAGGGAAAGTCTAAGCTAGAAAGGTCAAAAGGGCAAGAGTTTATGTAAATATATCGCATTTGCAAAATTCCCATCCCGTCATATTTATCTATTTGAATGGATAACACAATACGTACTTTATAGATACATGTCTTCGAAGATCTTATTTACTCAGACTTCTAAAACAAAAGAAGTAAACTAGAGACACAACATTTTAACAGAAACAGTAAGTATTAGGTACCTAACTGTACAAGTCATTCTTGATTTCGTAGTATCGCAATAAAGTCCATAGTCTAACTACAATAGAACACCTAACTCCATAAAACACTACAATAACTTGATTGTAGTCCTATCTTAACTATCTCAAGTAATCAGTAAAATACCAAAACCTTGAGGCTCGTTATATCATAGATAAAAGTTAATTTAACGAGGAAAAATGTTAGCTGCGGCTGTTTATATAAAACTCAAGTGACAACGATATCTACAGGTAGGTAAACCAAAATAAATAGTGTTATTTACATTGCGGGCTGAGACGTCAGATGTACGTAATATATTGTTAAAAGTAATTTAGAAAACTGATAATGAAATATGGAAAACTAGGCGTGTGGTTTTTTGGTCGTAACATTCATAATTTCATGACTATATCGTAAGTAAGTATTTTCGGACGGATCACCTGATGGTAAGCAATCGGCGTCGCCCACAAACACCTGAAACACCAGAGGCGTTACAAGTGCGTTACCGGACATTTGGGAATTGGGAATTTGAGGATTGTGGGGGATTCGGTGATTGAGGAGACCGGGGAGGGGGGTAATTGGGCCTCCGGTAACTTCACTCACACGACTAAACACAACACAAGCGTTGTTTCACGTCGGTTTTCTGTGAGGCCGTGGTATCACTCCGGTCGAGTCGGCCCATTCGTGCCGAAGCATGGCTCTCCCATACTTAAATATATAGGTAAGTATTATGTTATGCACCTATCTATCTACCTACTAAGTGTGTGTAACTATGTTAGCAATTAACTATTCATTTTTCACCAGTCAAATTATGAATTTGTTAGTATATGAAACTCGACTTCGTTCGATAAATTGCGTTTTAAATCTAAAGCCGAGTAGACTTATTTATTACAAATAACTAATTATACGATTACCCACTAACTAAGAATTGAATAAGGCGGAAATATTTACTATTTAAGTAGCAAGGAAATTGGGAAACTGCGTACCTATCTTGACGAATTTTCCGGCTAACTAACACAAACTTCAAAGAACTCATTACAATATTGTAACATGATTCACATCCTCCATTTTATTTTACCGAAAAACGCTAAATGTTGGAGTTTGTTTATGTTTAAACGATAGATGGGGAATTGGGAATTTCTTAATCAAAACTAAAATAGATTTTCATAGAAGTTTAGTTCACTTGTTATATCTACAAGGTTGATTGTTCTTAGTTCATAGAATAGTGGCGAATGATTCATTTGGTTGTTATTTTTGTTGGTGTAATGGACAGGAATATTTATGAAAGAAGGCTGTAATTGGCTTAGGCAGGTTACGTCATGTTACTTCATGCGTTATTGCTGCTTCTATGATAGAGTTGTCTACGAAGGTAACTGCAAAAAAAATGTCAAGGAATTAATCGATGGATGCTCAAAAACAAAAAGTTTATTGTGTTTTGAAATTTAACAGATATTTTCTTAATTATTAATATTTAATCAATAACTCTCAGGTTTATAAGGAAATGCAATGGAAACACGTGGCGAGCTGTCGTTCAACGCAGAGGAATAAGGGGATATCTTTGCCCAGCCGTGGACGTCTTCCGGCTGATGATGTTAATAACATATACATACACTTTATACTTTTATTATTATGTGATAGACAAACATTATGCTAGCTTTATCTTAATCCCGTATGTCCATTTCCTACAAATGAAGTGTTCACCTAAGTAAATACAACATATAAGCGCTAAAAATAGATTCGTTCATTCCAATGTGACCCCCGTCATAAGTACTTACCTACTTACTCATTATTTAAACAAGGTAGAGTTCGCAGAAATTTTGCATCTGTGGTTATTTATTGACCATTGTCAATAGTCGATCGTAAGTGGTCGTTCTTAGACAATGTACTACCTATTCACTATAACACAATATGAAACAGTAACCTAGTCTTATTTACGTTTAGAAATTCTGGCTAAATCATATCTGTGCCATCATTTCTGGCATTACATTAGCCAGAACACTATTGCGAGGCAATAACTGAGCCAGATGTTCTCTGGGTTACCTACTTCGCTAACCACAGACATAAATAAATTAAATTGAAATAGTAATTCGATTAGCTATTAACTTCTCACTGCGTAATTAATATTAATCACTTTGGTATCGTTTCCAACATTTGCGTGTTATGTTTTTTTTTAATTATTTTTTTTATTTCACACCTGTCAACTTTTTTTAAGTCAAATCAGATCGAGCAAAGGCGTCTCTTACTTTCCCAAGGTCTTCGAAATAACAATGATACAATTTATATTATGATATTATAAAAAAATGGTTCTGAATGCCAGTTATAAATTGAAATGAGAAAGCGTAACAAGAATTTTAAATAAGAAGTCGACTTGTGTTATTGCTTCGTGTGTTTTAAAACAAGTTTCTTTTGTTGATAAGCCAACAAAATGTCTGGACGAGTCATTGACTCCTGCTGTGTATTTTTATTTCATGCATTTATGTATGAATATTGATGTAAGATTTAAATGTATATTACACATAATGTTATAAAGTCCAAAAGGGCAAATTGTGGTTGCATGTTTGGAAGATATAATCCAACATTGAAAGAGGTTGCTTGCTTGAAGAAATATGGCTGATTTTATATTAAGATCTTGACTTAAATAAGTATTTATGAAGTAGCCCTAGCCGAGATGGTGAGTGGACTGAATTAATCTAAATAATTTATATAATATAAAATTTTTCGTTGTAAGATTAGTGTGTACAAAATTTGCTAAAAATAGTTAGGTAGTTATGCAAAATTAAAACGGAAATATAATTCGTATATTACGCAAACTAGCCTGAAACCTGTTGATAACTACCTCGTAGTTACCTGTCATTTGTAAAACTAATTGTATTTAGTAAATAAGGTAGTAAAGGTACTAATTGGTAAAATGGCGCCAACAAGATTCCAAAAGAAAAAGATCGCACCAAGTATAAAATGTTATCTACATTTTACGTAAAACTTTATTGTCAAAAGAACTTCACATTATTGTACCTGCTTAGTGGTCTTGGCCAAGGCCGATCCTATTATTATTATTTTGGTCGTAGAGAAGCGCCACGGATTACTACGATGGAAGTTTCCTTTGTACTGTAATCAATCTAAACAACTTGTAGTCTAAACTTATTTTTAACCTTCGTTTTTGTAGTTACTTTTAGTAATTCTCTTTGTCTTACAATATTATGATGGTTACATGAATGAGTAGATATGTGTAATGTTCTTCAGTCTAGTTTATTGGCTAAAGAAAAAACTTTAATTGGAACGAGTTAATCACGGTTAATCAGAGCGTGGAGCGTGGCAGCAAAGAACACTTGGTTCAGTTATGTTAAGTGTAGCGCACTACTGCTTCTGTGCAACTTGGATCTCGTCTTTGCATTATTTATTTACTGAAGCTATTGTACATGAACAACTAGGTAGGATTGGGTTTTGAGTGAATTAAAGCAATCGTGTGTAGATAATTACTATTAGATACAATAATATGTTGGTATTAGTATGTTGTGTACTGATATTGTGTACCTAGTCTGCTAATTAGGCAAACAATCCACAAACTATAGTAAGCAGATCTTAGTTACTTTGAAGTGGCCGACTTTTCTACACACTTTGCAAAATTAACTTCAATGTTTTCTTTGTTTGGTTGCATTGGTACCTGACTAGGTAATTACAATGTAATCTTAAAAATTGTGTGTGGCGCCAGCCAGTAATAACAAAACACATTACTTATATCACTAACTGCAGCTAACGATATGATCGCTTGCCAGACGATAATTCTAGCGGTAATCACTCATTATCTTCTCAAATCAGGGTCGTTCACGATAAGTCACGCAGCTGGGCCGGCCTACGGAGCACTCATGTCTTTGTTTTTACCTAAAGCATTCTTAACTTTCTGAGTCGGGACCTGTATTCTGAATCGATTAGGTACTTACCATTGAATGTGTCGTATGCTGTAGGCTGGTAGTCTTCCCGAAATGTATCCTGCGCGTATGCCGCTATCAACGAGCTTTTCCCAACAGCTCCATCACCCACCAACACACACTTTATCTTCTCTTTCTTTCCACCTTTCACCTTCCTTCTGTCTTTAATCTGAAACATGCGGTTCAAAGTCCGTCTGCTCTTTTTGTCCCTGACCGCCCACTCGTTCACTTTATCACAGCAATTCAAGTCTTCAGACACATCGTCTCGTATCACAGTGCGGCCGTTCTCTTCAGCCACTTCGGAGTAGTCGTAGTCGTCATCGTCCCGCCGCGAAATCGGGAACTGGCTCGGACTGTGCACACCGAACACGAACGGCCCGTCTCTCTCAGGCACACGGGCAGCGAACCCGTTCGCCGGAGTCGGGGGCTTCGCATAATGCACTACCGGAGCACGATACTGGCTCGTAAGATATTCATCAGACGCCTGTGGATCGAACCTGAACACGAGCTCCGCTTCTCTGCGGTCCAAACTGAGATCTGGAGCTGTAACTTTGTCTTGAAAGTATCCAACTTTCTCGCGTGCCCTTGTCTCATGTAGCCGTCTTTCGAGTTCGACGTTCGATGGTTTCCAGTAATCTGGTCGGTATTCGTAAGAATAATCAGTAGGCAGGTTCCTGGGCGCGGGCAAGGGCCGGTGCGGGCCAGTGTCGCGGGGAGGCGCGCGTGGTGGGACCATTAGAGGCTTTTGCGGTTCCGCCAACAACGGCCGGCGCGCCGACAGGTTCGTGTTTCGGTTGAACATGATCCCTTCTAAACTGGGAGACATTTGCACTGTCACGACTGGCTGTCAACAAATGGATTACCGAGGTGTGCGTTTGCGCACATTACTTGCGCGATGTAATCGAAATATATCGCGGTTTGTGGAGCGCGCGGACGCGAGCAGCGGCGTGCAGTCACCGCGGAGAACAGTACGCGACTGTCTCGGGGACGGCGGCCGGTAGCCGCGCTCCCCTCGCCCGGAGAAATGACCTGTTGCTTCTGTTACCTGTTCAGGTACAAGCGACCGTTTCGCGAGCAAAGCGCAGCTGCTGCCCATGAACAAAGCCATCATATGGCGTCGCCAGTCCTCTTACATAGCACGGGCACCGCAAGGAAATTCATTCACGATATCCATACAACGATGAATGAAACACGACCGACGTGTTTTGTTTACCTAATGTTCAATTTCAATATTTATTTGATAAATTGGAATAGCTTCCACAATGCATTTATTTATTTTAGTTTTGTAGAGTAAGTAGCTTAGCTATACCTACCTTTATCCTTTTTTTATGAAGTAACCATCACATGCAATGCAAGTATGGAACATACATACATACTTATGTTACAAACTTTTAGGTTTAACTTTTATGAAATTTATTTTATTTATTTATTGTAAATAGCAATAGCGAAAAATAATAGGTCTTCTTAAAAATAAAAATGTTTGTTTAACAACTATTTAAGTAGGTACTTAATTTATGAATACATTACCAATAGACTTACTATTGGTAATTTATTCTATTCTTATTTCACCGTAAAATATCCGAAAGTTCGTTTTTACAGAACTTTCAAAATGTTGCACAACAATAATAGTGACAGCTGACAGCATAAGGCGCAAAGTTGCAAATTTTGTTATCAAGAGGGCATTGATTAATAATTTGATAAAAGATTTTTAAACTACCCCAGTAAGTTTACTGGATATTGATTCTCGAACTAAGTCTATAGTGAATTGTCTATCTTGAGAATTATTATCGAATTATATAGTTACAATGAATTAAATCACAGCTACAATTAAATTAATAAAATAAAACATTCACATCGTAAAACGAAATAACAATGTCAAAATGACATTGACGGGCACGTGTTTTTATTTTGACAGAATCATGACAGATGCCATGCTACATTCGATTCGTTTCGGAAGCGTGATTTTTTCATAGCTATTTATAGTATTGAAGTAAGGCGTAGAAAGAGATGCAAGATAAAAAATCAAAAAAAACGAAAGAGTAAAAGGATATATAATGCTTAAATCCGAACTTTTTATTATTGTGTCAAAGACAACTGATGAACTGACAAAACTGTCAAATTGAACATAAGCATGGTTATGTTCGACCGAGTTTATTGGATTATTTTTAAATAAAATATATTAATATAAGTCTTAACATAGTTTAGTGTTAATTGTAAAAGAAAATACATTTGTATCAATATGGCCAAGTTTAAGTTGAGTAAGTATTAATTGTTGTTTCCATTATAAATGTTGTGGAAGCATGTGATGCTGCTACGAAGTAATTTTAAAGACAAATTAAGTTCTTTTTTTTACAAAATGCTGTTTTTAAAGACAGTTTGATCTACAAAAAGATAACCAATCCACGAATGAAATACTGGTGCCAACTACATAATAAGATTATGGCCTGAGAACTAGTTTAAATTTATCAATATTGCACAACTTTAGTAATTGTATTTACTTGTATTCATTTTCATTCCATGAACTCTAAAAACTAATATCAACTTAGTTAGTACTAACCATAATTATATCCTGTTTTCGAACAATTTAATTTCCTAAACTTAACCTCAATTTTTTCAGAGAAACCATCAAAGAGACAGCCAGCTCGTCTCCGGTACAAAATAGAGAAGAAAGTAAAAGAACATAATAGGAAGTTAAAGAAAGAAACCAAGAAGAATCCAAAATCTAGAAAGGCCAAGCCTATACAGATACCAAATGAATGTCCATTCAAAGATGACATTTTGAAGGAAGTAGAAGCTGTTAAAAAGCATAAAGAAGAAGAGAGACAGAAAAAGAGGGAGTTAGCAAAACTTGAGAAGCAGAAGAAAATGGAAGAGAAGAAAGGTGGTAGCAACGTCAGTATGGGAACTTTGGTAAGCAATTATTGTTCTTACTTTTTACTTGGTTTAAGTTTAAATAAATGCACCATTGAATTTCAAACAAAGCTTGGCAGTAGTACCAGTGGAGCAACTATAGTTGTTAAATTATTAACTATCAAGACACATACTAAATCAAATAAAAATAGCTGGTTACAAAGTCGCGGCTATGTCTAGTAAGCTGCACGACATCGCCGCGACCGCACACCCTGCTCAGTTACCCTATGTGGTTCGAAACTAGTAGAGCTTTTCTCAGTATTTCCTAATGAGTAACCCACGATTTTTAGTTAATTTTGTTAAATAAACATTAAGAAAGTTGGTTTTCTTTTAATTTAGCACAAACATAATTTTGTAACTATTGATTTTACTTTTGATATTTTTTTTCTTAAACTCCAATTCAGTTTCAAATCTCCAAATACTATTCTAAAATAATTGCAGGTTGAAAATGCACAAGCAAGAGGTAAAGTTCACGATGCATTCAAAGGAGATGAGACCACAGATGATATAGAGTTTGGCAAGGACAGGAAACAAGAGAACTCCTTGAAGACTTACTACAGAGAGTTCAAAAAGGTTATCTCAGAAGCTGAAGTCATCCTCGAGGTTGTTGATGCTAGAGATCCATTAGGTGAGTAATTTGTTTTACAAATAAAGATTTTCTATGTATATGAAGTAGTGGTTTATGTGATTTAAATGTGTGAATTCAATATAATAGTTTAAAAAATTTGCTGTACCAGTATTTTAATGCGGTTTAGAAAGTTAAATGGTATTCATTATTAAATTGTTTACATTGTGTTAAAAATATTTAAGGTTAAATTGTAAGGCGAGAAACACAAAGCTCTACTTTTTAAGATTCTTCTTACTTTTTAAACCTTCTATCACACATACATAACTTTTCATACAACTAATAATATAATTACTATACAAAAATTCCAGGTACCCGTTGTTCTCAAGTCGAGGAGGCAGTCCGTGATGCAGGCAAGCGTCTGGTCCTAGTGCTAAACAAAGCAGATCTGGTGCCTCGTACCAACCTCGAGGCTTGGCTCAAGTACCTCCGTAGGACTGCCCCCACTGTACCATTCAAGGCTTCAACACAAGACCAACAGCACAACTTGGGAACTAGAAAAATGAAACATGTTGTTAAAGAGAAACAGATGAAAGGTTCGGAATCAAAGTCATTAATTTGAATTAGACCAAGAAGGCATTTTTGAATGTTAACATAAATTTAAATTGAAACTATTTGCCCATTATAAGGTGTAGATTCCTATGGAGAAGAATGAGCAAGAAACTCCATAGATCTATCCATACATCTATGTATTCAGATTAAAACAGTTTTGCATCCATAATAGTTACTACTAGTTGTATATTACTAGTGCAGTAGTACTGCTTGAGCTATACAACATAAAGGTGTGTTTACGGCGGCGTTTCGATTATCAACATTCTCGTATTCTCTATTTGTAGCGACAATTTGAACACAGTCATTCTCACCAACCCGTAACTGTCTACTACTGGAGAATAAAATCGTTACATCACTCCTAAACCATTGCTATTTTACCTAGTCAAGAATTTAAGGTAACACTGTCCTTTTATCCCCAGGTTCAGCATGTGTAGGCGCAGAGTTAATAATGAGCCTCCTAGGCAACTACTGCCGCAACAAAGGTATCAAGACGTCCATCACAGTGGGTGTGGTGGGTCTACCCAACGTCGGCAAGAGCTCCATAATCAACAGCTTGAACAGGTCCAAAGCCTGCAATGTTGGCAGTACTCCTGGAGTTACCAAGTGAGTTGATCTTATATTACTTGTAAAAGTTACGTTTGTAAACAAAGTAGTAAATTATGTTTTTATTTTATTGAATTTGTCTCAAGTTGACACAGTCACTGTACCATAAAAATTCAAAATATATTTTTCCATACATTGGTTTGACTTTGGCTACAAATGCCATGTCACATGGGCCGGTACGAAGTTTGCTACGAGACAGGGAATTAAAAAATTACATAATTATCATAATGTATTTGTAAATAAAATATTTCGTGTTTTCATCTAGTTTCTGAACTACTCACTAATTTTATTTTTATTTATCAAGGACAACAAACAGCAGTATATTAAATATAACACGGGTGAATAAAATTATAGATTTAACAAATACACTCCTCACGACGTTGCCACGGATTACCATAAATCTACTTAGCAAACACAATGGGGCAAACTTGAAGCTACAAAGTATACAAACATAGGATACATTTAAATTACAGAATTACTTTTTACCTATACCTACCTATTATATATTTTAACCTACCTATATATTATATTTTTTTTGTGCACTATATGAATGTGAAACAACCAATCTTCACCTTTCTAACATGATCCTTTCTATAATTCCAGACAGATGCAAACAGTTCAGTTAGACTCAAAGATCAAGATCCTGGACAGTCCTGGAATAGTGTTCCACTCCGGTCCAGAGAGTGACTCGTCGGTGGCGCTGAAGAATGCGGTGCGCGTGGGCAGCCTCAAGGACCCCGTCACTCCGGCCACTGCCATACTGCAGCGAGCAAACAAACATACACTTACGGAGTTGTACAGTATTCCAGAATTTAATACGCCTCAGGTCAGTCAGTTCAACCGTAATATAAAATATAAATGTAATTTATAACTAGTAACTTGGTGTGACTATAATTTCTCGCCTAAGTAACGTTGTAATGTAAATAATTCGTCCGTGAGTCAGTCCGTCAGTGAAGCTATGCGCTCGTTCCAAAAAGTAGATTCGAGTGGAGTAGAACGAGCAAGAAACTCCATTCGAAAAGAGTACTTTTACATTTATTTGTCATTAATACACTAGTGTCTGTCACTATGTAGGATAAGTTACCAGTGTATCGTAAAATATAGTCCTCAAGAACAGAGCTTGAAAAGTAAAAACTTCTATTTTGACATATTAACCAGCTTTCTGATTATAATCTCTTATTAATATTACAGGAGTTCTTCGCACACGTAGCGTCTCGTATGGGCAGGTTCAAGAAGGGAGGAGTGCCCGACCAGGAGGCTGCAGCTAGAATTCTACTTAACGACTGGAACACTGGCAAGGTACGGCATGATAAT